CCATCTAGACAAGATGACAGCTATTCAGTGGGGACTCTTTATTTCCCCACATAATCTTAAACTAAACTCCCTCTTAAAACCTTGTAAGCCAGTCACTTTGTGCCTTTGTTGCCCCCTCATTTTAGGTGGCAAATATCTTAGTTGCCTGTCCGTATCTACCCTGTGTACAGAAGGAATAGCATTGATACTTAATGTGAAGACTCTTTCCCTCTCTGTTGGTATTTAGAGTAACTACTACTCTGAGTATAGGTCAGGTTCATCATGAAGATGTATCTTCTGTCACTGTAGCTGTTCCAGTCTTCTTGTCCTTTTTAGTGGGAATGTCTCACCTCACAAGGTCATAGATGGGACTCAGGATCCACCTAAGGTCCTATAGTCTGTAAAGGCTTTGCACTAGGCCTATTTCACTGGGCAACATGTAGAACCCCTTTTAGGTATTCCAGCAGTTGTCTTTTATGTTATTTGAAAAACATACTTGTATTGAAGAAGTCATTAGTCTTGCAAAATTCTATCATGCAATCTCCAGCATCATTTCAGTCACAAAGGCCATATTTTCCAATTACCGATTCTTCCTCTTTGTTGCCAACCTTTGTATTCCAACCACCAATAATTATCAATACATCTTGATTGCGTGCTTGACCCATTTCAGACTGAAGAAGTTAGTTGTTAAGTACTGTTGAGTTGGTTCCTACCCATAGTGACCCAAGGAGTGGCTGGTGGATTTCAACTGTCAGCCTTGCAGCTCAAACTCCCCTTGTGGTCCAGCACATTATCCTAAAGTGCCACACCAGAAGTTGGTAGAATTCTCTAATGTCATCATTTTAGTGGTTAGTGTGTGAATTTGAATAATAGTGTTATTAACTGGTCTTCCTTGTAGGCATATGGATTGTATCACAGACAGGTTTGTAGTTCAAGGCGAATTTTAATATGTTCTTTTTGATGGTGATGAATGCGTTGCCATTTTTCTTCATTTGGCATTCCAGGCATAGTAAACGATATGATTGTCAGATTAAAAATGGCCACTAGTCCATTTCAGCTTATTAATGCCTATGATATTGATGTTTCTGCATTCCATTTCATTTTTGACCATTTCCAATTTTCCTAGATTCAGACTTTGTACATTCCTTGTTCCGATTATTATTGGATGTTTACAGCTGTTTCTCTTCATTTTGAGTTGTGCCCCATCAGAAAATGGAGGTCCCAAAGCCTTTACTCCAGTCGCATCATCACTGTCAACTTTACTTTGAGGAGGCAGCTCTTCCCCATTCACATTTGGAGTGCCTTCCAACCTGAGGGGCTCATCTTCTGGCACTATATCTGATAGATAGTATTCTGGTGTTCTTCATCATGTTTCAGTGTTCACTATTCTCATGTTGACAGTGTTCCACTGCTATTGTAAGTTTTTAATAAATAAATATTCGGAAGTATTTATTGTCAGTCTCCTTGCTAGTCTGTCTTTGTCTGGAAGCTCAGTTGAAACCTGACCACCATGGGTAACCCTGTGGTATTTAAATTACCTGTGGCATAGCTTCTAGAATCATAGCAACACACAGCCACCACAGTATGAAAAACTGACAGACGAGTGGTGGACAGTTAACAGTATTTACCTCTATTCACTTTAACTATTGCATTCCTCTACGTATCTCTTGCTACTTTTATCTTTCCTCTGCTAACCTCCCTCTTATTGTATTTTACCTGCTCTGCTCTGTCCATCCATGTTAACATGTGTCTAGCCTCTAGCAACGAATCATTTTCCCTCTACCTTGTAACCGTCATAGATTGATTCTTTTATCAAGAAAACTTTTTTTTAAGCTTTTTGTAACATTGTTCTCATACAATATTTGTCCATTTGTGATTGACTAAT